AAATGGAGAAAGTCTAATATTGTGAAGAACTCAATTACATGGAGTCTTACCCACGTGCTAGAGAAGTCTAAGATGCGGAAAAAATGAGAATTCTACCAAACAAAGGATTCTGAAAAGCTTAAGCTTTTGAAAAGTCCAACAAATGGTTTAAGATTTGTTTGGAAGTCTTCAGTTATTTATAAAAACATGGTTATTTTTTAAATAAAGTTTTTTTTTTAATTCTTATAATTTTTTAAAATTTAGGTATAATTTTTATGACCAACACACAAACAAATTTAATTATTCATCACAAATTTTTTTTAAAAATATAAATCCGAACAGATATTTAGTTAATAAAAACTTGAATAATCTTATTACGATGAGATTAAGACTTTGTTTGGTACGACTTTTTTATTGGCTTTTTAAAACAGAGTTTTAGTACAAAAATTTCATGTCTTAAAAAACAATAAAAAAGTTGGCACAAACGAAGCCTAGGACAGCTTAATTTTGTACTGAAAAAATGCTTTAAGGAGTAAGAAAGCCGTCATCATTTGGGCCAGCTTTCTTGTGTTTTCTAAAACAGTTTTCTTGTATAAAAATTTCTATTTCAAAAACTTTTGTACTAAAAACCTGCTTTAAAAATAGTAAGAAAGTTATCCAAACTCCAAAGGAAGCTTAAAACTCTCTTCCATTAAATTTATATTTTGATATTTAAATTTTAAAAAAAGAGTGATAAATAATAATAAAAAAATGAGCTTGAGCTTCTAGAAATAGCATTTCCCTCAAATTCTTGATGATATTCAATTTATTATTTTGACAGTCAAATTTGATGTGTATAATAGTTCTCTTGTGCTTAAGGGGGCTATCAGCTCTATCATGCTTAGTCGACTTAGACAAATTAGCTCATGTGCATCAAATTTATGTGATTCATATAAGTCTTCTGCAAATAAGTTTCCAAATAAAGTCCTAATTTGAAGAATCTCTCCCCCCCTTCCCCCCACCCTTTGTAAAAAATAAATTGTTTTATGTTCCTTCACTCCATTTTCCTTTTGATGTGAGAGTATTTGAATATTGATAGCTAATTTCCTTTTTATTTTCCATTTTTTATGCATAAAAAGGATACTTTTTATCCAATTTGATTTGTTGAAATGGCAAATTAAATTATGTGAGAGCATTTTGTTAAAAAAAAAATTCTTAAAAAAATGTTAATAAGGCCAAATGCTGCCTATTATTAGATTTATTATTTCAGCTATCTAAATTTGCTCCATTGTCACCATGCTGAATGGATAGAAGAGCCATTGCTTCAAGTGGAATCGAAATTAAGGCTTTGTTTGGGCGGCTTTCTAATTAGTGCTTCTTAAAGCAGCTTTTTAATATAAAGATTAAATTTTTTGTATTAAAAAGTTGCTTCAAGACAACCAAATTTTTTAAGATTCTCTCTCCTTCTCTCTCTCTCTTTCTATATTTCAAAATAGTTCCTAAAATATTAGTGTGCGGCTAATTTTATCCCAGAGTATTAGGTTGCTCCTATTTAGTGATTTAACTATACAAAATTGATCCCAAAATACTCTCTCATATTATGATTGTGATATAGAATTGATCATATTTTAGTTCCTTGATTATACAAAATTTATCCCCAATTGATCATAAGAAATTAAATCGGAACATCATGTTATTATGAAACTAAGGCTTCGTATGGGGCGGCTTTCTTGCTGCTTTTTAAAACAATTTTTAGTAAAAAAGTACTTAAAATGTTGTTTGAAGAAACAATAAGAAAGCAGACCCAAACGAGACTAAATTGATCACATGCGAATAATTAGGAGACTATATATATTATTCTTATTTGGGTGACTCAAGCCTAAGTTCTAGAGGGATCTGCCATTAATGGAGACCATGACCAGTTGATTGAAATTTTAAAAATAAATTATCAGGCACAATACTGTCAAACCTCTGACCATATGCAAGCCTTGTGTGGATCTGCCAGAAAGAAAATAATACAGCTAAGGAAAGTGTTTCTTCAAAGGATCTCTTAACTTTCATGGTTTCTTCTAATTAATTTGGTTCCTCATTCATATTGGTAGGTGTGAGAGACTTGGAAAAGTTTTTCCAAAGAATTTACATAAATAAAGCTTGCAGTCAAAATCAAATACCAGCAGATAATACAAAGGTCTTCCCAAGAAAAACTTTAGTAATAATTAACTTGATCAAAGAGTCAATTAAGCTGGAAAAACTTATTAACTTAGAAGAATTACAGGGCAGATTGGAAAATAGCCTCTTATTTCTCTTTCCTGAGAGAATAAAAAAAGTTAGGAGCTCCAATAGTTATTTTCTCAGTTTGAAAGGATTCACATTTCCATGCAATTTTGAAGCTTTAAAGTTTGAACTCTGAAGCTTTAAGTCTGATGGGGGTATTCATTTAATTTCACATTAACTTGCTGAAAAATATATTGCTCAAAAAATATAAATTTGCCTCCGCTCATTTGTTTAATTTTCTTTATCTTTAGAAGCTGTTTGGTTGTTTGAAAAAAAAACACTAAAAAAAGAATACAGTATAAAATGAGTGTCGTGTATTTGAAATATATTGAAGTTGTTTGGATGAGTGTACAAGAAATGCGGGTTTTTACTTTTTTTTTTTGTTTGGAATGAAGAATAGTGAATGCAGAGGCGACCGGGGGTGGATAGGGGGCGACAGGGGCCGGAAGGGGGGGGGACGGGGGCCGGATTGGGGGGGGGCCTACTGGGGTTGGCGGAGGCCAACGGCTAGCTGCTAGTGGCGGCGTAGGTGGCACTCGGCGGTGGAAATGATGGTGAGTTTCCACTTTCCAGTGTATTTGAAAATCACCCAAATATGAGGAATTCCAAATACACTAGATTTGAATTACAAGGTAAATTCCTTTTACTTCAAAATTTTACTCAGTATTCCTTTTACTTCAAATCAAACATCAATATTTTCAAAACCTCTGCATTTGAAATACATTACACTCCTAACGCGGGTACTCAAAGAACTCTTTAATGATGAGGTAGACAACGTTGGTTCTCGTTGATTCCTTGACTAGCAAGTAATATCATAGTTAGTGGTTTGCTTGAGATCAAGTGGTTCAAATGATTTATGACTCTCATGATTCTTTGATTGCTTCAATCATGATCGGTTAAGATTTAAGAGCCAATGCACACCATTGATCTACTTAGTTGAATGAGTTATCAACAATGCATAGTGCTTGATGAGTTTCCTTTGGAGATTGAGTATGATGGATATGAAGAGATCTAACAAATTAAATTTTTTAGATGAGAAGAATTTGTCTTTAATTCACACTTCCTAACAAAAAAACAAAATATACGAATTAACAGATTCTGAAAGTTCCTAAAACAATTTCAGATCATGATTTTGTTTGGGATAACTTGCTTACTGCTTTCTAAAGTAATATTTTAGTGCAAAAATTTAATGAACAAGAAAATTTTTTTACTAGAAATTAGCTTTAAAAATCAATAAAAAAAGTTGTCCTAAGTGAAGCCAGCATCTTCAATTTTAGAAAAAATAAAATATGAAGATTACAACTATAATCAATAAGGAGGGATAGTCAGCTAAGAACGAAGTGGCTTTTTCCTGTAGATTTCCGTGGTAGACTTCAATTTTAAACTTTTCAACTATAGAAAGAAACCAATAGTTAATTGAATTAACAATTTAGTAATATTTCTTTGAATTTGGAAATTCTGTTTTAAAGAAAATACTTTGTGAGATTTATATTTTTTGGGGTTTTTCCTTGTAATGGCTGAAAATGGTTTTTTTTTTTTTTTTTTTTTTTTGAAAAAAGGAAAATGAAAACTTGTTTTGGAGTTTTGCAAGTCATTTTCATAGAATTGTGAACGCTGGAAGAGATTTTTCTTTTCAAAGCAAAATAAGATTGATTTAATAAATTAATAAAGAAGAAGAATAAAATCTTCTTTTGGAGTTTCAAGGAATTTTTCATAGAGTTGTGAACACTGGAAGAGAATTTTTTTTCAAAGCAAAAGACGTTTGATTTAGTAAATTAATAAAAATTACAGAGACTAATAGAACTCATAAAGAAGAAAAAGTACATCAAACAAATATAAAAATAATAATAAAAAAAGCAATAAAACTGGATGGATGATGAAATTATATGAAAAATAAGGATGAAATAATGCACTTGTGCCCAATATTTATGATTTGCCCTTCATTTGAGACAACTTTCTTAATGAATTTTAAAGTAGTTTTTAAGTTTTTTTTTTTTTTGAACTAATGCTTTGATTGAGACAGCTTTTTTATTACTTTTAAAAGTTGCTTTCTAGTACTAAAAAATTTTGTACTAAAGCATTGCTTTAAAAAGCAGTAAGAAAGTCGTCCCAAATGAATTCTTAATTGGACGATCAAAAGTTAACTCAAGGCATAAATCTTGTCATCAAAGTTGATATTCATTGAACTCAACTAACTAGTTCAACTAACTTGTGAACGGATTAAACTCGTTGGTAAGCTCAACAACAAACACTCCTTCACACATCTTACGACTAAGGCTTCATTTGGAATGTCTTTCTTACTGCTTCTTAAAGCAGTTTTTTAATCTGCGAGTCTCTTGATTCTTTATGACTCTCATATTATCTTACTCTTTAATCTTTGTTGATTAATGATAATTCCATCTCTTCAAAAAATAAAAATAAATAAAAATGGAAAGCAACATACAAAAGTGGTCATGGAAATCATGGAAATTAAGCACATGATATATCATAACACTATTCTTCCATTAAAATATTCAAAATAAGACAATTCAGAATAAGCTTGGTAACTGCTCATTAACTTCCCTTTGTGTCCCTGTGGAAGTGCTTTTCAAATAGGCTCTTTGATCTTGTGGATCCTTCCTTCACGGAACAAACACCATAGAAAACTTTTTTTTCCACATGGGCCATCTTCTGTCTTCCACCTGGCCTCAGGGATTTGGTACGTAGTTGATTGAATTATTACTATAAATACTTTTCAGAACTCTCTTTATTTTTGCAAGTGCTTTGTTTCTTTGGTTAGTTTAATATTTGCCAAAAAGATGATGATCACAAGGTACAATGCAAAAGAAGATAATTCTTCAAATTTAAGATTTCTTTCCTTCCCTTCTTTGATTTTCTCTGTTCTTCTGTTCTTCAGCTTAATCCAAGTTAATGGAGCTTCTTCAGGCATTCGAAGGAGTGCTCAAGTAGGTATGGCTGGAAATTTATATTTCTAATCATATTGTTATTAGTAAGCTCTATAATGTAATTTCTGAATGAATTGAAAAAAAATTTTAGTTTGTGGAACAAAGGTGGCTCGCAATCCAAATATGGAGAAGCTGAAAAACGGATACCTGTTTCCTGAGGTATGGCTTATCTTCTTTAAGGCTCTGTCTGATTTGAAGTAATTGAAAGAGAGAAAATGAAAGGCAAATCGAAATGAAAAGAATAAATATTGGATATGGATATAGATATCCTCCGATCAGGATGGCTCATTGTTTTTACATCTACGTTGGGATTAGTATAATTTTTTTATATTATATGTAGCACTAATCTCAATGTAAATCTAAAGACAGTAATGCTCATCCTGAGTAGATTTTAGCGAGGAAAATTGACATTAATATTTGAGTGAAAATTATCATTATTTGATTTCATTTTATTTTTAGGGGCTGTTTGGTAGCACTCAGGATTTCGTAAATCTTCTAAAGCTAGATTTTGAAAATCTTGAGGGGTCTAAATCCTGAAAACTGTTTGGTAACATTCATGATAAATCTTGCCAAATCACATGGGACTATTTGGTTATAAAACGGACTCTTCCCTCTCGCGCTCATAGAACCTTAAATCTGACAAAAAAGAGGATTTCGGAAATCCGGGATTTAGCACGAAAAAGGGGGATTTTCCTTCTACAGCGGCTTTCATTTGCCGTGAAATTTGGTTTTGCATTTTAGGCTGTTTGGCTGGATTCCGCTCAAATCCGCCTCAAATCCAACCTAAATCCTGATACCAAACAGTCCCTTAAGTTTTAACACTATATAAATGTATTAGTAAATAAATTTTACATTCACTTCAATTCTTTCAAATCAAACAAATCCTAAGAGGAATAACTAGATGAGTACTATCTCTCATGATTCTCTCTTGCAATGATCTTTGTTCTTAATCCATACTACTCTTTAGTTTTAATCTACCGATTTGCAACGCAATAATGAGCTATACTCATCGATTAATTTATCATTCTTTTATTCTTAAAATTAATCAGAACTCCATTTTCTGTTTGGTGATTTTATGATCAGATTTGGCAAAAGCAATTAGCACATATGAAGAAGTATCCCGATGCACAGATTATTAATTTGGGGATTGGGGACACAACTGAGCCTATACCAAAAATCATAACATCTGCTATGGCTGAGGTTAGTATCCAAAAGAATGTCTGAAAATTAATATTAGCATATTTATTTTCAAACTCTTATCTAGAGAGCCTTAATTTAGTCTTCTTTTTTGGTTTAAATTATGGAAGATGGCTATATTTTGTGTAGATGTGTGACATGATTTTTGTCCTGCAAAGAAAAGTCTTATGCATATTCAATCATGAATTGGGGCCTTCACAACGATTAATTATTCTGTGCGGACATCGAATGTCATCTGGAGACCAATCAAAATGCGTGACTTCAACCCTTCGTTGTGTAAAGCGACTTTGTACTGCTCGGTACCGCTAACGTGGCTGCATCTAATTTGCCTCCGGACGTAGAGTTGATGAGGGTAAAGGCTTTTAGATGGTATAATAGTAAATAGTGAAATTTGTGTATTAGATAAGTAAATAGAGTAGTTTTAAGTGTTAGATATGTAAAAAACCCAGTAAAAAAATACTTGCTAAGGGAGAGTGCTCTTATTTACTTACAGTGATAATTGAAGGAGAGTGGAGGAAGACTTACCTTGTTTGCACACTGATAAATTTTTTCAATTTTTTGTGCTAAAAAGCTGTTTCAAAAAGCAATAATAAAGCTATTCCAAACGAAACCTTAATCTTCTTGTTGACTTTTCAAATCATTTGATAATCCCTTAGAAATGATGAAGGTTAAGTTCTAAAATTGAATGGTTAACAAAAATATAATAATACGAGCATATTAGCGGTGAAACTTTTCCATATGCTCAAGTTTACATAAAGCACTCATCCGTGTGGAGGAACTAGCGTGATCAAAGATGTCCTTTAAGTGGGAAGAAATTAATTGTGGGTCTTACACCTGTAGGGCTAGTTGCTAGCAGGCTTATCGAGAGATTAATTATGTCGTCAAGCGCCTCCTAAAAAGAGTGGAAAAGAGTAAATACTCCCGTTCTAAAAAAAATAGAAAAGATTCATAATCAATAATGTGATTGAATAAATTATTTACTGCATGATGTTACAGAGATTTTTCAATATGATGAGGAAAATCTCTTGAGCCATGTAAATATTTGAGAATCTCTCATTAGATAATTAAAAATATATATTTAATATATATACTCAGCCACTCATTTTAAAAAAATTAAAAGAAAAAAAAAAATCAAAAGCCTTCTTAAATATGTAAATTCTGCACACCATCAACTTCTATGTATTTGGTATTTGATGTTACATGACCAGTACAGTTGTTGTCATAGGGCTTATTTTTTGTTACAGCTGTCCTTTTTTTTTTTGGTCTTTATCTTACAACGTAATGTTTTACAAGTTATTAAATTCAAAAATAATTATATTTGAATTTTGCAGTATTCCCTTGGATTATCTACTGTCGAGGGCTACAAAGGTTATGGAGCCGAGCAAGGAAATGAGGTGAAAGCTTACATAATTTTTTTTTCTTTATTTATTCGCTCTCTTTAGATTTTTTACATGCTTTTTCTTTCATTTATTGTATGACGAGTTTTGACCCTCAACTAAAAAGTCTTATATGAAAAAAGAGAGAGACTGTACGCATGCAGGATTCCTGTTTATCACTATAATTACTGTTTTGATAATTTGTATTTATGCCAAATGTAGGAATTACGCAAGGTGATAGCTGAAACAATATACAAAGACATGGGAATACAAGACACTGAAGTATTCGTATCAGATGGCGCTCAATGCGACATTGCTCGCCTGCAGGTGCAACTTAATGAAAATGATTTTAATTTTACATCTAAATTGTATTCTAGTGAGATTATTTTTGTAACAACCCAAATTCTTAACTATATATCGAGATATTGTCCGCTTTCATGCAAGTGCCTCATGGTTTTGTCTTCTTAGTGTAACTTCCCAACAGGTTGCCCATGGACTTTCTTTTTGAAATTTTAACCATTACAGCAAAAAGCGCATTGATGTTTAAGAGTTTAGCTTCTTCTTTTTTTTTTTACTTATGGAGTTTCATAATTTCCCCCACTTAAGCAACTGACGTCCTCGTCAACATCATGAACCCTGAATCATCCACCAGATAGATAAGAATCTAGAGGTGTCAACCTACAAGTTTAATAGGTGGCCCTTGTCATGTAATACTTTGTCCCATGCAAGATTCAAGAGATGTCTCCCATAATGTAGCATTTTATCTTATATGACACTTAGTTCCCATTTTATGGCTGATGCATTGTTCTGATATCATTTATAATAACTCAAACTCGATCTTAAATATCGATATATTATTCATTTTGTCTAAGAGCCTCATAGTTTTGTCATGTTTGTGTAACTTCCCATTAAGTCACACATCCCAGAATTGCTTCAGAATGAGCACACTTAACTACCGAGTTTCTTTGAGAAATTACAACCATTATATCAAAATACGTCTCGATGTTTAAGAGTTTAATTTTTTTTTACTTAAGAGGTTTCACAATTCTTCTTCGAATAATCTCTAACATTTTCATGTTGTAAACGATGCCTTCAAATGATATTTTATCCTAAAGCCTAAAAGCTTTACAAATACTTATGATTTCCTATTGAGATTATGTAACTGTGTGTATCCAATGTAGCTTTCTAATTGTTCGGTTTATATGCTTCTTGTAATCCTTTTTATGTTGCAATAAAATTTGTTTTCTGTTAAAAAAAAAATTATGCAACTCTGATTCTTCCTCCTGCATGTATGCAAGCAGCTTCTCTTCGGGTCCAACGTGACGATTGCAGTGCAGGACCCTACTTTTCCGGTGATCCATCAAACATAAATAAATGCAAATTCACCAATTTATTAAATATATTTGCTTTTTCATGAATTACTAACGAAGCTTTATTTAATTAATCGTCAGGCATATGTGGATTCGGGGATCATTCTAGGCCAGACTGGAGAATACGCAGATTATGGAAGATACAATGGGATTGAATACATGAGATGTGCACCAGAAAATCACTTCTTTCCCATTTTATCAAACATTAAGCCTACAGATATCATCTTCTTTTGCTCGCCCAACAATCCTACAGGCCATGCAGCTTCGCGAGATCAACTAGTAAAGTTGGTAGAAATTGCCAAAAGAAATGGCTCCATTATCGTCTTTGACTCTGCATATGCAGCTTATGTGTCAGATGATAGCCCAAGATCAATCTATGAAATTCCTGGCTCCAAAGAGGTAACTCATATTACCAGGGGCAGAACCGGCCATAATTTTTAGAGGGGGTAAATTTATAAGTAACTATTGGTAGATATGTCGGGGGTTCAAGGGGGTAGCGCTCGACCTGATCGGTCAGATCACGAGGTCAAGGGACAGCGCTAGTCAATATCTACCAATAGAAGATGATATAGGGGTGTCAATATTTGACACGACCTGAAAACCCGACTCGAAAACTTCGGGTTAGGGTCAAATCGAACCCGAAACGGGTCGTGTTCGGGTGTTCGAAACGGGTCGGGTTCGGGTGTCCGAAACGGGTCGGGTTCGGGTTCAACATTTCAACCTGTTTAAAAAATCGGGTCTGATTCGGGTTAACCCTTTGACTCGATTTTGATCCGAAAACCCGATTTTGACACGGCAACCCGCGATTGACCTGATTTTGACACAATTTTGACCAAAAAAGAGGAGATTACCAGTTTTTGACCCGAAAATTAGCAATTTGTTTGTTGGAAACGGGTCATTCAGGTCGTGTAGGGTTGACCCGGACCTGAAGCAGGTCGGGTTTGGGTCCGAAAAATCGACCCGTTTTTAAAAACTGGTCGGGTTCGGGTTGACCCGAATAGTGTTGGGTTAGTTTCGGGTTCGACCCGAAACCAACCCGTGACCCAAAATTGACACCCCTATTGATGATATCTATGATCAAAGGGGTTCCCAGATATCTGTTGTAGATCTAAATATCATAGTATTTTAAAACTTTTAGTTGGGGGGGGGGGGCAATTGACTAAAAATTCTTATAATAAAGACTAAAAAGGAGGATAAATTATCTAAATAATCATATAATGAAAACATAAAATTTAGGAGGGGCAATTGCCCCATTGGGATCAAAGGGGTTTTGCCCCTGCATATTATCATATATGAATAAGTCAGGCATTTTAATTTCTTCTATGTATATGAATATTGCATGTGCATTAATCATTAGAACACTTGAGTGATTGATTGAGCTATGTCGATCCAGGTTGCAATTGAGGTCTCATCTTTCTCTAAATCTGCTGGTTTTACTGGAGTTCGCCTTGGTTGGACAGTCATTCCTGAAGAACTCGCCTACTCCAATGGCTCTCCTATTCTCAAGGATTTTGATCGTATTATTACAACTTGTTTTAATGGCGCATCCAACATTGTCCAAGCTGGTGGCCTCGCTTGTTTATCAAAGGAAGGACAGAAAGTTAGTATTGTATAATGTATTATTATTATTATTTTTTAATTGTTTTGTGATATTAACTCATATAATTATTATTAATTATATTTGATATGACCCAAAAATTCGACTCGAACTTGATCCGAAAATTCCGGGTTAGGGTCAATTGGACCCCAAACAGGTCGGGTTCAGGTTCAACAAATAGACCGTTTCAAAAATCGGGTCGGGTTCGGGATGACCCAGTAACTTGAAATTGACCCATTTTTATCCATTTTTTACCAGAAAATCCATTTTGACCTAGAAACCCGAGATTGACCCGCTTTTGACCCGAAAAATCAGAGATTGATCCATTTTTTGAACCAAAAACAAGCAATTTTTGGTACGTCCCAAATTATTTGGGTCGTGTCAGATTGACCCAAACCTGAAGCGGGCCGGGTTCTGGTTTGAAAGACTGACCCGTTTTCCTAAACCGGTTGGGTTCGGGTTGACCCGATTAGTACCGGGTTAGTTTCGGATTCGACTCGAACTTGACTCGTGACCCGAAATTGACACCCCTTCATATAAATGACTGGTTCAATTCAAATTTTACTTTTATTTTTGCTTTGAGGTGATCAATATAGTTAACTCACACCAAATAATCACTGCAGGAGCTTAACATATTAAATTGCATTTAAATTTCTTTATAATTATTTTTCTCTTTTCAGGATTTGCATGGAGTAATAAGTTTTTACAAAGAAAATGCCAACATATTAGCTGAAACTCTCTCTTCCATTGGTCTACAAGTTTATGGAGGTCTGAACTCTCCATATATATGGGTTCACTTTCCTGGTACAAAATCATGGAATATGTTTGCTGAAATCCTCGAAAGAACGCACATAATCACAGTGCCTGGTTCTGGATTTGGTCCCAGTGGGGAGAGTTTTCTCAGGATTAGTGCTTTCAATCACAGGGAACTCATTCTAGAAGCTTGTAGAAGATTCAGAAGATTTTTTAGAACAGTTCCTTCTATCTCTTCATATTCCTTGAATCAAACAGATTTTTTTCTGCATCAATGAGCTCTAATAAAGATTAATTAGTTCATAAACACTTAGTAGATTGGAGCTCTTTTTAGATGTAGGAATCTAAGCCTACAGGCTACAACTGTTGTTGCAATTGTTTTTTTATAGTATAAGCCATTCACTTGGACTGTATTTTATTAAAATAACGAGAAAAGAAATAAAAATGTGATTTTTTTATAGTATATATTTTTATTTACTTTTTTAATTATTCTACTTTTCCTAAATCAAATGCATTTAATTTTCCTTCTATATCTTTATTGCAATTAAACAGAGCCTCAACATTGTGGAACAAAGCAGAAAGGTTGGCAATGCTCCCATGCAAGCATTGAGTACCCAAGTCCATTTGTGCACCAAAACTCATTTCGCTGGCAAATTTGCTTTCTAAAAATTTTGAGAGCATCTAAATTCTTAAAAGTTTCCCTTCCAATTCAATTGCTTATTAAGCTTCGTTTGGGACTTTTTCATTGCTTTCTAAAACGGAGCTTTAGTACAAAAAAAAAAAAATTGTATTAAAACCCCGTTTTAGAAAGCAATAAAAAAGCCGTCCCAAACGAAGTCTTAATGTGTCACAATAACATTCATTTTATATGAAATTAATCTTGAAGCAATTTTAAATTTCCAAGCATTTAAAAATTCAAACAAAAAATTTAGTGGATTGACTTCGAGATCATATGAATATGCTTTTCAATACTTTTAGATTGATGAGATGAACTTGAAGGATACTAAAAATATCTTGATTTGAGCTCAAATAGCTCTAAGTTAAGCACCCGGAGGTATAGTTGGGAACTTCTCAAATGAGCGTCTCAATGAAACAAAGTTGACCAACCATAGATCATTCAATTTTGACATTATTAAGGCGCTATAGTATTTCAAATATACTACATGACAAAGGGGATCAATTCCAGCCATCTCATGGAGTACTCTGTTTTCTTGCTGAAATGAAAATAAAACACCCATTCATAAATCTATAAATTGACTATAGTTCTACATATTCAAAATGAGAAGGTAGGAGGTTTAGGAATGATCCAAAAGTAGAAAATCTAGAGTTCTACCTATAAGAATGTGTTGCCAGTCTTCGTTGCCAACAAGATCACCGCTGTTCAACACTAGTCGGACCCAAGAAGTTAGATACTCACTGTTGACAAAAACGATGACACCCACTTCTACTACTAAGACTGACACCCACTCGCACCAACAAACTTTATCCTTTTGATGCTCATTGTCACTAACAAGATCGATAATCATCATCAATACTCAACTTCGTCAATAACCTCTACACCCATTGTTATCGTCATGAGCAAAACAAATCATCACCTTCAAAATCGACGCCCGCCCCCACCAACAAGGCAAATATTGGTTGTCATTAACACCTCGATGCCCATTTTTAAGGTCATTCAATGCATGTTGTCATCACTAAAATAACACTCACCATTACCAAACACAATGACACTAGTTATCGCCATCAATGCTACCATTTGTTGCCACTACTATGTTCAATGTTCTTCATTACCGTCAAGATTATCACCCTTCATCATCACCAAGGCCAACACCACCAAGGTCAACGCATGTAAATAAGACACCAACAAGTTCTATGTCGTCATCGCCACTAAGTTCGATGGTTGCCCAATATTGATGTGCCTTTGCCACCAATCCTGATGCTCATCAACGCCTACATCCATCATCGACATCAACTTTCATGCACATCAATCATCGATACCAATGCCGATAGCCACCATGTACACCTTGGTGAACGTCTGTCATTGTCTACAATCCTAGTATCCATTATCACCTCTAACATCTATACTAGCCTCCTCGATCATCAATCTCCTCTTCTATATAGAAAACAAACAAGCATATTTTTTATTCCTTTGATGTAACTTAGATTACTAAAGAATCTTACTTCTATCATGAAACTTTTCAATTATGATTCATGTTATTACCTGATTTCATGTTGAAACTATAAATGAAAAAAATATCAAATCTTTTATATTTTTATGTATCCTAAGTTATTTAATTTGAAATCGTCAAATGTGCGCTTGAGATAGCCTATGGTGCAACTCATTTTTCACTTTTCATATTCATACTAGTTGCCCAATGCATCACTTCTCCAGTGCACCAACTAAAGCTTCGTTTGAGACATTTTCTTACAAATTTCAAACATAAATAAACATAATTTTTGAAAGCACGTGCGCTTATAAGTTATAATTTTTTTTTTAATGATTTGGCATAAAATACTATTAACAAAAGCTGTAATTTACAATATTTTGAAAGACGAAATAACAACATAATTTTGAAAATTGTCGGGATTTAAAAATTTCAAACATATGATAAATTTCAAACAGCTTTTTGTACAGAAAAAAAAAATCAAACTAACACAATATTTACTTGAAAACAATACAACTTTAGTTAGTTTTTATTGGATGATTGGTCGAAGTTAGTAGTGTAAGCAAATCAAGCCTATACTCAAGCTCGTTAATTAGCTCACGACATGAGTTGGGCTTATTGAGCCAATAGTTAAGTGCGTATATTAAACACGAGCTTGAGCTCAAGCTCAGCCTAATTCGGCTTGTATGCTCGTTGAGTTGCTCAATTAGCTTAAAATATATAATTAAAAATTAATTTAAATTAGCATAACATAATATATTTCTTGACTTACTAAACTTTTTAATATTATTTTGAAGACTAAAAAAAAAAATCAGACGAGTGGAGAATGAGTGTGTTAATTCTTATTTTTAAGAATAAAGGTGATGCACAGGATTGTGCGAATTATAGAGGAATTAAGTTAATGTGTCACACTTTAAAACTATGGGAGCGAGTTATGGAGCATAGGTTGTGGTGTGATACTAATGTTTCTCAAAATCAATTTGGATTCATGCCGGGTAGGTCAACTATGAAAACCATACATTTATTAAGAGGTTTGATGGAGAATTATAGAGAAAATAAGGAAGAGTCTCCATTATGATATTTATTGATTTAGAAAAGCATATGATAAAGTTCTAAGAATAGTGCTATGGAGAGTTCTTGAAAAGAAATGAGTTAATAATGCATATATTCAAATCATTAAAGATATGTATGCAGGAGCTATTACTTGTGTTCAAACACAGGTGGTTTGACCAAGCATTTCCCTATTTTTGTGGTTAGATCAAGGGTCAGCCTAAGCCCATATCTTTTTGCTTTAGGTCTGAATGTTCTCACTAGACATTGTGCAAGAGGATGTACCTTGATGTATGCTTTTTGCTTTATGATATTTTCTTGTTGAAAAATTAGAGAGGGAGTTGAAAGTAAACTTGAATTATGGAGGTCAACATTAGAGACTAAAGGTTTTCGTTTGAGTAGATCTAAAACGGAATATATGGAGTATAATTTTAGTAGTAATAGACCTAGTGAGAGGATTGTGACTTTAGCGATCAAGTCATTAATAAGAGTACATGTTTTAAATATCTTGGATCTATTGTTTAGAGTGATGGTGAAATAGATGGGGATATTATCAGAAGAATTCAAGTTGGACGATTGAAGTGGAGGACTGCATCAGGCTTGTTGTGTGATAGTAAAGTACCCCTTAAACTTAAGAGAAAATTCTATAAGATGGTAGTGAGGCCTGCAATGCTTTATGATGCTGAATGTTGGCCATTAAAAGAGAAGCATAATACTAAGTTAAGTGTGACAGAGATGGGGATGCTCAGGTGGATTGAGTGGCTTTACCCTTAGAGATAGGATACGAAATGAGCATATACGGTGAAAAGGTTGGAGTAGCTCCAGTAGAAGATAAGATTGGAGAGAGTCGCCTTAGATGTTTTGGTCACATAAAACGGCGGTCTTCCAATGACCCGGTTAGGAGAGTAGAGGTATTAGATTTGACTTATGTTAAGAAAGGTAGAGGCAGACCTAGAAAGACTTAGTTAGAAAATATTAGGAATGACCTTTCTTTATTAAATTTAAACAAGAATTTGACATTTAATAGGACACAATGGAGAAAAAAAATTCATGTAGCTGACCCCACGTAGTGGGATAAAGGCTTAATGTTATTTGTTGTTGTTGTAGCATAATATAATATATTTTAACTTTTTTAATTAATTCTATATTTAAAATAAAATTCTTAAAAATTTTAATTTAAAACTAAGAAATTAAGCTCAAGCTTTTCAAGGCATTTTTTCACTTACTTAAAAAGCTTTTACTTGATTAGATTTCCTAACAATTATTAAACGTACATTAACACATCTATAAGTATATAATTTAAAATTTTAGCATGTTGACGTCCACATGTACTCCATTCGGGCCAACCAGGATAAAGACAACCGCTAACAGACAAAATGTTGCTTAGAATGATCATCAGAATGCCTCAACATAACAAGAAATTACTCAAAAATCTTTGGAACGTAAAACTCAGGGCATCAAATTTGCCAAAGAATACTTGACTATGCATGACTCGATCGAGGATTGACGAAAGAGTGACGGTTGTCGGGCTGGACGCTGCACAAAACTACTCAAATGATGTCCGATTATAAAATGGACTAAGCCGAGGCATCTAGGAGAATGAATTTACTTAAGGAGATATCTCACACACGCCAGTCAAGCGGAGATGATTGAATATGATGTCTATGGATATAACGTTGCACGAATGTTGGGGATGGAAGTAAAACACTGCAACGAAATAAACAAGAAAGCAAAAGCAGCGGAAAGTAAATTATTCGATAATTTTACGTGGAAAAATCCGAAATAAAAAAAAACCATGGAGCCACACTACACCAAAAAAACTCACTATGAAAATTAGGATAAATAAGTACAAATCTCTTTTCTCTCTCTCTTTACTTCTCTCTTACACCGTTCTCCCATACAAAATAAAAGAAAAAGACAAATAAATAATACCAAGGGACGCCACCCTTAAGATAATACATCAACCAGTTATGTGCAAGAGCGAACACAATAATGATTCATTAAGGTTTCGTTTGGGTCAACTTAACTGAATTTTGAAAGTAACTTTTTATCATCAAAATTTTGAGGTCAAAAAATTTTTGTACTGAAAAACTACTTACAAAGTAATAACAAAACTTACCCAAACAAAGCCTAAATCTAAAATAATGAAAGAATTGAATGACCTACTTTTATAAAGGTTCAGACATCACCAAAGTCTTAAGGATTCCTTTAGGCTATTTTTTTAATGCTTTATTTTTCAAATCGTAATCACATTTTCTATTTTATCACTATTTCGTTATCATTTTTAAAAAAATTTATAAAAAGAAAATGCTTTCTAAAACAGCTTTTTAAAAAAATTATTTCTCCACAGCTCTTCTTACCTACTATAATAATGTAATAACTATGTATTTTTCCTTATCATATGGCCTCTCTGTATTGCAGCTTTCTCTTCATCTCTCACACTCTCGAGAAAAACTCTATAATCAATGGAAATTCTCTTTTGCTATATCTTGCTTGTCAAGCATAATGGACATTTTCTCTTGCTTGCTCTTAGCGTGAATAGATCTGCAAAACAATTAATTATAAATCTCTATTTCTCTGTAATTTCATCTCTATCTCCTTTTAGAGAAAGAGAGAGAGAGGAAAATTTAAAGGCCTGCATGCCCCAAAAAACTACTTTCCATCAAAGTGCAGGCAAAATCTCTGATAAAAAAAATACCTTTACATCAACTGCTGCACATTCTAACTATTTTATGAAAAAAAAATCTTTCTTGTAACGACCTCTAAGATCAATTTTATGGCCATATATAATTAATATCATACTTTCTAGTAATAGAATATGAAACAATTACATATTAGACAAACCTTATTTTGATAGAGTTTCAATCTATAAACACATTGTATTAATGGGCGCCTACACAGTAATAGAAGTATGTTTTCTTAGATTTGTTCATGGCAAACAAAACTAACATTTGCCACTATGGAAAAAAGCAGATAACTTCTGCTAGATAAGTTCCAAACTTTCCTGAAGCTTCTTCTTAAAAATTTAGTTGAGGAAACATAAATTTAAATGGTCATTATGTTTTGAAGCAAGCTTTATAAAAAGTTAGATCAGGCCTTAAGCGAACCTCAATATAGAGTGTTATCAAACACCCACGGTTCGTGCACGAAGAGCTCGCGGCCATTCATCTGTACTGCTCCTGCAGCAATATCTTCTGCACGCTTCCTAGCTGCTTCATCTCTTCTTGATGATATATCAGCATCCTGCAGAATGGGACAAATGGGATAGTTTTGATCACAACGGCCAGATACATCAATAAAAAATGTATCAAAAGAAACATGACTGCTAAAATGGTATACAAGCACATAGAAAGGTAAAGGATTAATTATTCTGTGCAGGCGCCGAATGCTGTTTGGAGACCAACCAGAATGCGCCACATCACCCCTTGCTCGGTACTGCTCGATACCACGGCTTGGTATTGAACGTGACGCAATATGTTTGGTCTCCGAACGGTGTTCTGCATCCAGTCTCCGCACATAATAATTTCTTCATATAAAGATGAATTCCATTAATTTTCATAATGATTACAATCATTAAACTTCATCATCGTCATCATTAGCCTTATCTCAAGTATTTCGGGTCTGGCTAATTTTCCATTCATTCTTCTTGAATGCTGAGTAAAAGATTAAGCCCATCTTTTACAAATCTTTCTGAACAATTTCTATGATGCTATCTCAAGTCTACTTATTTTCCTGCATGAAGCTTTAACTATACATGTAATGATGCATTTCTGACCATCCTTACATATCCAAAACAATTGTCCATCTTTTATTACATTATTGTCAATGGATATTTTACTCATACTTCCATAGTAAAATCATTTCGAAGATTATCTCTTCTATTTTTGACACAAATCCATCTTAACATTTTCTTTCTGCCACACTCAAATAGAATATCAACGACTTTTTTTATACTCAATCCATACAATCTTTAAATATATTTAAAAATAGAATACATAAAATGCAGGATCATACAAGCTCAAAAAATTTCCTTTTGCACATAGCAATCTATTTGAGTGTGGATGTTCTATTTGATCCTGCATTTTATGGTAACAATAAAAATCAACAAGCATGCTCAAAATTTACAATAAAATCCTCTGACTTGCATTTCAAGTGATTAGAATAAAAATGTCGCTAAAAACAGCCCATGATGAAAATATTTTAGAAATGCTTGTTATACAACCTTCACATGTTAGGGTAACTTCTATCTTGTACTTGAATGCCAAGGACTTGGTTAACCGAACAAGTGTAAACAGTTTCCAATCCAAGGTAAAGATTAAAGTAATATATTTAAGAGAGAAAAAACCTATAATATATAAAAATATACTATTAAGAAAAAATTGTTTGAAATTCAACATAAAGTAATATATTAGGGAATAAATAGTGTAACAGATGTTCTAGTTATTATTATCTATCTTAATGGGTCATTAGTTTTCTAGGAATCTATAAATAAGATTTCAATTTCGAGCTAGGGCATAAAGAAAATGTAAGATGCACGAACCCTTTGCCAAAATTGCTTCTTAAAATAAATAAATAAAATAAAATAACCTAGTAAGAGTTGTGGGCATTCTATATTGTCTAAATTCCTTCTTCACACTAGATATCTATTTTAATACAATCATTTTATCAGTTGTTTGTGATTTTTTTTGTGATTTAAGAATTAGGCATACAATAATGGTGTTCTCATTGAGCCTCCTGCCATTGATCCACTTCCCATCTTTGTAGCCACTCGCCATAGATAAGAACCTGAAGATCTAAACAAAATCCACATTGTTTCGCCAAATCCACCACATCATTCGCTAGATTTTACAATCCCCTCCACATCATTTCTAGATCCACAAGCTGATCCCGACTTCTTTTGCCAAATCATCTTAGGCCATCCCAAAATCCATAAGATCCAGATGTCAAACCCAAAATTGCCAACACCACCCTAATTTATATCAGATCTACCTCATCTCCCTCAATTTCTCCAATCCTTGCCATTCCCAGCTTCTCAGCATCGTCCATCGGAGCCTTCCCACCTCAAGTCACCTCTACACGAATTCACCTTGATTAACCTTACATCAAAAACTCCACCCATATCTGACTTCAACGCCATAAGATCTCACTCCTAATCCACATCCAACACCCCCAACCGTACCTCCAACACCATGACAAGTCGGAACTTCCCAATCTCACATCAAGAGATCCATACCCAGCCCTATCCTCCATCTCGAACTCCACATAGCATGCAAATAGATTCTGCTTCCTCCTCAAGATCCACCATCCCAAGCTAGGACCTGTCGTTGACAAACTACATCCATGCTAACTCCACCCAAATCTAAAGGCATCCACCCAAACTGAGCTCTCAGGCACCAGACCACTTACTCTAGTCGAGCTTGCAGCAATCTACTCGACCTTGAAGGAAAGATCATTGTGAAGGTGTGGGAAATGTTAGGGACTAAACAATATAATAGATGTTCTAGTTGTTATTAGGTACTTATTATATATTTTATTGGGTCATTAGTCTATAAATAAGCTCTCACTTTAAGAATTGTGGCATACAGAAAATGTTCATCCTCCATTGTCAAAATCCCTTCTCCCCTTTTACCAGGAGCTTTAAGGAAGTTATAATTGCCTAATTATTCTTTTTAATACAACAGTTAATCTATTCGTTTGTGACTTTTTTTTGTTTTTAAAATTTGAGTTTGGTACACATTAAAATCTTAGCCAACAAACTTTTACTTCTATCAAAATCATTCATTTATGTCAACTAAATAAATTTATTTTAAGAAACATTCATCATGGCAACAACCCTTAGCATGACTTTAAAAATTCCCAAACTGAAATTTTGCTTCCTATGGGCTTTATCTGAAGAACAATTTAAATTATTGTAAACCCCAATAATATGACACTCGCTTAAATGATTAGAATCTCTGAGTTGCATCCCAATGACTCAACATCTTCTCTCCACTATCTTTTTTTTTCCCTTTATTCCTTACTGAATCCTTTATGTTAAACCTACCAAATCCCCTTCAACTGACAATCAATATATCCTCCACCAGCTTATTTTATTATGACATCAAGTTGTATAAAGTTATTTAGAAATCCCCCAATAAATATTTGCTTGGCACGAGCAAATTAAAATTATTGCAAGCCTAATGATCGTCTATACTCTCCTAATCTTTGTATTGTTATCCTATGCACGACTCCACATTCTCCCTATCCTATAATCCTTTATTTCTCTATCATATTCCCCTGTTCATGAATGCATGCATGTAATTGTACCATAGCTATGCCAATCAATTCAACCCCCGTTCATTCTCCACATTCTTCTCGTAGCTTCTAACAACCTTTCATTCATCGTGGCCTCATACCAACTTTTTTCAAAAGCTCTCGCCAATCCTCCTGCACTTTTGTTTTTGGCCCCTACTACCTTCTCCGACATATGCTCTCACTTCAAGCACCCACTTCAATGCCAGAGCTATCACGGTCTACACAAATGGCTTTTAGAGGATGACCAGCCATCCAGTCCAATCCTACCCACCAATTTCGAGTCTTTACCTATTACCATATCCTAGGCCCTAACCACATCCAACTCACCAAGTAGGGTAACAAGGGTCCTAAGATAATCAATGGGAATTTCTTTCTAATGCCTCAGCTGCCATTCACATTATGGATCCAACTCCCATGACTCCAATGCTTAGCAAGTCACAGAATTCACCTTAAGGGTATGATTTGCTAAAATCTTTGTCCCTCTCCCTGGTTCATACTTTTAACATGCCTTCTATTTTTTATAAGTTTTTGTTCACTCTTTATGCATAGGTCACCACAGTCACTGCTCCATGGCAACAAGAAAGCACACCATCTCTTCATCCCTTATTTCCAGTCAGCGCCATTTAGGTTTTTATCATTTTTTATGCGCTTTTTTTTTTTCCTAATACATCTTACAATTAGGTGAGTATCTAGAAACTGTCATTTTAGATAAAGTTTAATAAAGAGTTAGCCTTATGTCAAACATTATAATACAACAAGATGGGTAAGCTAAAGAGTAATTGTAAGTCACGTAATTATAAATAAAATAAGAGCATAGAGAGATCCTGAGCCCCTCAAACAGAAATGTTGTTGCAACCCTAATGATTGGAACTTGAAAACATGATGCGGAAGAAAATTCTCAAATTGACAAACAATGAATTAGTGAATGTAACTCTACTCAAACAGAAAGTATTGCGCCAACATGCAGCACCTTTTTTAAGGTTTATGCAATTACAGATAAATTTAGGCATCTTTTGATTGGTCTAACCATATAAAAGGTTTCATCTGCTCACTGAGATTTGTACACCAAACATTAATGAATTTCAGTTCACGACCAAATTTAGTAGCAAAGCAGGAAATAACACGTGAAAGTTCATTGGACATTTGTTTATGATATAATCCTCTTAGAAGAAATCATGGTCAGGATGGTGGATGACATGGCAAAGTTCTATATCCTTTATATATTTTAGTAATTCTAGGGCTAATAAAAGAGATAGAACCTCATTTCAAAGAGGGATCGACTTAAGAGACCACAGAAGCCTATACGGAAACTAATACATTTCAACAGAACACAAACATCTCTTGGGGACCCTTTTGGCTGCTACAAATAGTTGTAATGCAAAATAAATCCCAATAAAATGAATGTGAGGACCTGTATATGAAAAAAATCAACCATGAAGTAACTTTATGTTGAACCGACTGCAAAAAAGTTTGTTTGCATGTAAAAATTTTGCAACAGATTTCACCAAACCTAACAGCCACTTGAATCATGTCTTGATACAAAAGATTGTGACAGGCATTAGTATTTTACAATTAATATGTTTTAAACACTATAGAGGAAGCTATTAAGACATGAAAAGATTATAATTAATATAACATTGACTGAACACATGATAACTAAGTTTCAGTGGATTTGAACTTACTGCTTGTTAGTAAATATTACAGGTCAAAATTAATGTTAAGGTTATTAAAGATGTGTATAATGAAGTAGTAACTAGAAGTGGCCATAAAGTAACAGAAGAGTTCTCAACCATAACATGCATTGAGAATCAATATTAAGTCCATAAAAGTTTTATATTTGTCATGTGATGATCACAAAGATATCCAAAGTGAGGTTCCTTGATATGTACTATCTGAAAATGGCATGGTTACAATATGTGAGACATATGTCAGAATAAGCGAACATTGCAACATTGAAATTTCTTAGAAGATAAGGGACTTTACGATCAGCACATTAAATACTGAGTACCATGATAGAAAATTTTAGGAGTTTACACTTGATAATTATCAGTTAATCTTAGAAATTAAGAGATAACCAAGTGACAAGTACAACTATCTTGGAGTTACTACATAGAAGAAAGAGGATATTAATGAGGATATACTATAATATCTAGAGTTACGGTTGTGAAGTAAAAATAGAGAAGTGAGAAACAAATGCTACGTAATAAGAGAATATCATGAAGAGAAAGTAGGTTACATTTAATTGCAATTAATTAACTATGCTATATGAATTTAAGTGTTGAGAGATAAAAACACCCCCGATAGCAAAGTTGAGTATGGCAGGATAATAATATTAAAAAGGAAGTATGAAAAAAAAGGAAGGCTAGATTGAAAAACTATAAGCATATACTGAAGATGGTGTAGATGAAAATAAATTTATATAGTTTGGATATATAAATGAAGTGAGAACATTGAAGAATGAAGTCACCCATAAGATAATAACTAAATTTATTATGACGGGTAAGGAACAAAAAAATAGGTATGGCAGCGGTATAATGGCTAGAATATGCCAATAGGATTTGCATAATTTAAATATAAATCTCATTCAACACTCAACAAGAACAAATGGAGTTGAATATTCATAATATAAAGCAAACCTTAGATCGTTGCAAATTCGATGATGATAATTAAAATGAAAAATAATAATAGTAAAATGAGTTTGTGGTGAAAACAGGTAGAAATGAACTAAGTAAATGGATAGTGAAATTAGCATATATTGAAGGTGTGATAGTAAAAAAATAGACTTAAAAGTTTGGTTGCTTACCAATAGAGGATAAAATTGTAAACTAGTAAGATGGGTGCGAATAACGAATGTGGAAGGATTAGCAAAGAAAAGGGAAATAAAGAGTAAAAAAGGTAGAAAGTGGGCAAAAATATTAGCACAAAACACAGTTTCCACCTCATGCAGTACTGAATAGGACAAGGACTCATAAAACCAACTCAATATAGTTAGGGATAAGCCTAATGGTGTTGATATAAAGAATTTTGTTCACTGTAACTAGGATGCAACGGTTATCTGCTACCAGGTAATCAAGAAGATCACGGATTAGGACAGCAATATTTGCACTGATATTAAATGAGAATGAGCCGAGTTGTTTCAATCCAAAGGCATTATAGACTAGCTCAATTCTTTAAAGGCTGCTATATGATAATGCTCATGGAGATAATGCATTATAGACTAGCTCAATTCTTTAAAGGCTGCTATATGAAACGGAAAAAGCGAATGAAACTCTAATCAGCTCAAAGGTGGAGATTAAAATTCAAGAGGAAGTAAAACGAGCATTTCTTTTTTTAATAAATATAGCTCTCAAACGCCTATAAGCGTACATGAACTCAGTAGGGCAAGCAAAAAAAATCGTTTAAACGAGCGAACAATTGTCAGATATTCCTTCAATGCTAACCCAAAGCAGGTAAAATTACACATGTATCTCCTTCGCAAAGAAACCCTAGCTTCCCAAAACAAAAAAAGCCATAAGAATTGTAGATTTAAAACTCTAGAAAGCGGGAAGAGCAGGATTGAGGATTGATAAAAAAATTTAGCACCTTTCGGCGCTTCCACGAGAGGAATTCAGCCTCCGAGATTGGCCTGCGCTTCTCCTCACCGTCGACATTTCCTTGTTTGTCTTCCTCGCCCATCACTTCTGGAGTAGTATCTCACCAGAGAACCCTAACAAATATCACCGACTGACGGTTAACAGGGCATCACTGGGTGGGAATTAATGGCCCGATCGGCCCATGGAGCTTATTTTTATCAATGGACCGAAAGTTTTCGCTATCAGTTCTTAGATTTAAATTTATATGTATAAATTTATTTTATATGATCTAAATGTCTCTATATGTATTTGGATGACACAAAAGAATTATTTTAAAAAATATAGGATAAATAATATATCTCTAAAAAAATATTTTATCTGCATAAATTTTGTTATATTATTTTATATTAATTTTTTTTTAAATTAACTGTTGAATCTTTCTTATTTAAATTTTAACAAATTTATTATTAAGCTGAATAAACCTAATAACAAAAACAAAACAAAAAAACAAAAAACTCAATATAAGTCAAAATAAACACAAATCAATCAATTAAAGCATATTTAAAAAGTTTAAGATGCTTATACTCAAATTGAGTATACTAATGAGATAAATCAACAAGCTCAACGATTAAGCAATTTTAAGTTCATTAAGATACTTAAATGCTAAATAAATGATTTATGTCCTAATGATTCAACATATTGCATTCGATTAGGTGTTATAAATTTTGATTAAAATTATCAAAATGTATCTCATAAAATATTATAAATAGACTTGTATTCATAACAAGAAGGAGATAAAAACCTGTGATTAAAAAAAGCCGGGTGATCTCAAAAATTCTAGAGCTCTACAAATATTTAATATTGGAGTTCGTTGCTAGCTACTGTCATCGTCCTATTATCGTCTAATCGTTGCCGCTTGATTGTTTTAGTTTCCATCATATCTTCCAATTGTCATCATTCTATCACCATCATCTGATTACCATCATTCGACTATCGTTGCAAGAGCACCATCACCATCATTTGACAATTATCATATGATCATCATTGCTTAACTAACATCATTAAATTAATGTTATCATGCATCCACTAATTATAAGATAATATCCTCTATAACTATAGAAAACCAATTAGCGCTCCCAAGTTTGTAATCCTATATTCTCCAATTTTGAAGAAGAGTAGACTTATGTAACTTAAAATACATTATATATATATTTTTAATATGGTCAGACAACGTGATTTTTTGCTTTCTAAATTTTTAGGTAAAAAATATAACGGCTCATGCATTCTTTTTCTTTATCTATGTGCGTTAGATTCTTGGGTAAAACAAAGATGTAAAACTCCCTTCTCTACTGTTACAAATTTTCCAGTACACAATAACGCCCATTGGAACTTGGATTATATCAAATTTAGCATTATTAGACTCATCTTATCGAAATGTTAAGTTCAGCTATATAATTATTATAATCAAAGTTTATATGATATTGACACTATCAAAAATTTAATATTTTCGCAGTGTTTCATAGAGATGATTTATAAACCACCGTTATAAATAGATATAAACAACAAATTTCATCGCTATTAAGTTTGCTATTAAAAAAATGATATTTTTCATAGAATTATAATATCATTTTCAAACTATTGCGAGGACTATTTTAATTTAGCGATCTCTCCTCTATATCTCATATCCTAGCTCCCGCCCTCGCATCCGTCTCCCAAACCTGCCTCCTTTTATTCCGTGCCCTAGCTCCCTTTCCTCTGACGTTGCCGCCTCTCTATTGAAAACCCAGACAGTATCACAATTCGCCATAGCTGGCGATCTTACGTTGCCTGACGGGCCTATCATACCCCTAATACCTTGATTAGATCCTTACAATCTCCCCGCCCAATTCGAATGGACGTATATCAACATCGATATCGACGAGGTGGATGAAAGTTCGAGTCGTGGCTGGTCCAGAGGTGATGAGATATGTTTCGCCCTGGTGGTTTTTTTTCCCAAAGGATAGAAGTCTCAAGCTTAGGCACTACAGGAAAACCTTGTTATACCGAGAAACTTTCCAGCGGAATTATATTTGGCGGTAGTAGTAGCGGTGCAACTGGCGGTTATTATGCTGGTAATTAACGACGAATTTTTAGCAGAAAAATTGTTGGAACTTTTCTGGCAAAAAACCCACTGGGAAATCTGTTGGTTTTTTTTAAATCGGTGATAACTTTCGATGGCAAATGCACCGGAAATTACTGGCGGAATATTCACATGCTTGCTTAAACCGACGAAATATTTCCAGCAAAAATGCCGCAAAAAAGACCCTATTTTTCTTTCGCGGTCATCTCCCTTCTCATTTCACTCCTTATCATTCTATTTCACTCCCGGTCACGTGAGTCACCTCCCGTTATACACCACCTCTGTCTCCTTTCGTGAACACCGCTCTGTTGTCGTTGTTCACCACCTCAATCATCGAAACTGCCTTAAGTTGATCTGCATTAGCCCATTTCTTTTTGATTTGGTCATGGATAATCTCGTTAGACATTTGTAAGAGATTATACCATGGTATATGCATTTTGTTGATGATATTCTTCTTGTTTATAAGACTAGACAGGGAGTTGATGGTGAAATAGATGTGGATACTATTAGTAGAATTCAAGTTTGGTTGGTTAAAGTAGAGGAATGAGTTAGGCTTATTGTGTGATCAAAAATTTCCCTCAAACTTAGGAGAAAATTCTATAAGTTGTACTGAGATCTGTAATGATTTATGATGTAAGATGTTGGTCATTAAAAGAGAATCATAACATTAGCTTAAGTGTTTGCAGAGATGAGAATGTCATGAGTGTCTTTACTCTTAGAGACAAGATGTGAAATGAGTATATACGTGAAAAAGTTTGAGAAGCATATACCCGATGACCCAGTTAAGAAAGTATAGGTATTATATTTGGCTTATGTTAAGAAAGGTAAAGGTAAACATAAAAAACTTTGAAATAAGTCTGATGTTTTCACACAGGCACCCCCTGAAGACCTATGCATGTCTTTCTTGGCGTGGTAGGAGTGAAGAATACGGCCGCGGTGTCACCCTACACCGATTGTGCTCTTCTTTCTTGACATGGAGGGCAGGCTAAGACTATAAATTTCACCTAAATGGGAGAGATGTCAGGCGGTTGTCAGATTTTTTATTAACAGGGGACCTGTGTGAAATAATACGATCTGATTTATAAATCAATTTGAATTCAATCTATTTTCTTTCAATAGATGTTACTCCATTCTCTAATATATTTATACTATATATGTGTTAAATTATTCATATTTGGATATTAAAAATCAAAGAAGTTGTATGTATAGCCGATTGGCGCGATGACGAAAGACATTAACAAATGAGTTCATTAATTGGGTAATTTTTTCATCAAAATAGATGGTCAACTACCTAGCTTCATCTCAGATAAAAAGTTTTGATGTATATATTCTAAACATAAAAATCAAGTACATCTCACACCATATGATATAATTATTGATCTATATCACAGAGGGTTTATGCCACAATATTGGTACTGAACTTCTCATAGTAAGTATAAGCCACATTTCGATTCTTAATGCAGCCAGTCTAAAAGTTCTAATATAGCCTAGGAAGAAAATATCCAACCTCTTAAGGACTTAGTTTATAATTATGATGCAATTGGGGCACAATTTGAATGATATATAGAAGAATTAACAAATACGGAGGCACATAATTTTTATGACTTGTTTAATGATGTCCATCAACCAATATGGAAAGGGCGCACCACTCACTCAGAGATATTTATTGTTGTGAAGATGTTAAGCATCAAGATGAAATATAATATCCCATATGAATATTTTAATCAATTCGTTATACTACTTAAGGAAACCAACTCGGTAGATAATATAATTCATATAGATTTATATCGGATTAAGAAGTTAGTTTTCAAACTTGGATTGAAATATACAAAAATATATTTTTGTGTTAATGGATGCACGTTATACAATAAATATGATTTATCAGATATTGCATACCGTCATTACAATGCATCAAGATTTAAACCAAAGTCTGAGATGAAAAGAAAACTAAAGGATATATATTCTGGTTACTAGAATGTTTTACTTACTCATAATTCATAGATTACAACGGTTATGTGCATCAATGAGATTTGTTACACGTATGAGATGACATAATGAACACATCTCACAAGAAGATGTTTTTACACATCCCTCAGAAGCAGGTATCTGCAAACATTTTAATCATACACATCCTACCTTATGAAAGTACGAGATGCACCAAGAGGGAAAAAATTCAATAAACGTTATTTTTCATCATCAAAATCACAAACTAACTAGGGATACTGGATTGCAACACCTTCGCCACAGAATATCTTGACTCTTAAAATGCTCAAACTCTTTGTTCAATCTAACTTTTCCGTCTCAAATTTCATGATTATCTATCTCTTAACCTTGCTTGAATACCAGCTTGCTATAACGTGTGTCGAACAAGTCAACATAAAAGCACCGTTAGGATCACTAATAATATCTCATGAATTTACAAAAAAGAAAGCGAAAACATAATACGAACGGCACCAAGATTTATGTGATTCAAATCTATTACGATTATAATCAAGGCTTGATTAATATGATCAGAATTTTAGTAAAAGAAGTATAATATTATAACTTAGTATACTCACCGGATGTATTTGTTGGTAGTCCAAATGTAATACATATTTGATTACATTATAGTATATATTCTATGTAATAATATTTCATAGTATTTAAGCTCAATGTATTTGTTCTTAGTCCACAACTCCACATTGATTGTATGTCTGATTCACCCAATATTAGAAAATCAATATTATTTGTTCTTATGCATGACACTTTTTTTTTTAATCTTATGCATGACACTTAAGAAGCTAAAATTTGTACTATTTTTTGTTAAAAAATCAAAATGTGACTAAGCTTGTAATAAATATGTAATTACAATAACACTTCACCACAAAAACTTCTACACGTAGGGATTGTTTGGCTGTAAAAGTAATATAATGTTTTTAAATTATTTCAATTTGTTTTGATGTGTAAAATAAATACAGGTAATTATTATTTTTCTTTGGCTTGAAGTAAAATGAATACAATATAAAGTTTAATGATGGCGGTGGTTGATGTCCTACTGCAACGGCCATTGGCGGTGATGGTCATTAGTGGTGGTGGTAGGTCGCGGCCAGCGGCTGTCACAATGATAGACTGAGGCGATATGAGGCTGCTGACTGGCATACGGCGGTGGCTAGTGGGAAACAACAGTTGATATAAAGCGACAGCAGTGGGCGGACGACTACATGCAGTGGTAGAAAACTTATAGTATAGTTGGAAATGATCAACTATAACAATTTTCAAATTCATTAAAATTGAACTAAATTATGAATTTTAAATACTTAAAAATTTTACTCTATATTACTTTTACTTCAATCCAAACACCAATATTTTCAACCCCAAAATTTGAAACATTTTTACAACCAATTTACGTCAAATCAAACAGCCCCTAAGCCTCATTTAAAATAAAAAAAGTCCAATAAATCACAATATTAAAACAGCTAGTGACCTAATGTGAGCTTTACAAAGAGCTTATAATCATTAGAAAAACCCTTTTTCACAAATGGGAATAACGTATACATTCTCCTGAGTTCATGCATTCAGGTTTATTATAGGAAGAATCAATAGATATTAAGGATTGTAGACTACCTAAACCTTTTGATTTCATCAGCAAGCAAGCTTGAAAAATATCAGCCATATCACATCAGTAAGCCTGCAAGCTGAACTATGCAAAAGAAATTTTTTATAACCCATGCAAATAAAAAAAAAAAAGGCCATATGGATTATAACCCATGACAATTAATTAATCATAAAATTGGGTTAGCAATGAAAATGAAGGAAAAGTAATAAAAACATATTAAGAAGACAAAATTTTCATCTCAATTTTTGAAGTTCAAGCTCTATAAAGTTTCATTTGGGACATGTTTTTACTGCTTCCTAAAATAATTTTTTAGTATAAAAATTTTTAGTTCATGAAATTTTTATAGTTCATAAAATTTATATACTTGAAAGTTGCTCTTAAAAACAGTAAGAAAACTATCCCAAATGAATTCTATAGGCTCATTTGCTAATTGCACCGGTTTAAACCGCTTCTAATTGCATCGGTTTTAACTTGTGCAATTTTTAGCTGTCAAAACATATGCTAAAATACTGTTTTGATAGTGTTTTTAAAACCGCTCTTAACAACTGCTGCGAAAAATCCTATTTTTTTAGTGTTTGGACAAATTTCTTACTGTTTTTAAAAATAACTTTGTAGTGCTAAAATATCTTGAAGTGACAAAAAAACGGTGATAATAAACTGTCACAAATGAAGCTTATGCCTTCAAGGGGAAAAATTATTAGGTGTGGAGTGCGCACCATCCGCACAAGTACTGAGTACCTAGCGGTACTAGCAGTACCCAGTGGTATCAAGTTTGGGTACGCTAGGTACCCAATGCTTGCGCGGACAGTTCTCCCCGTCCGCACTCCACATCTAATAATCTCTCCGTCAAGGGATGCATTTATTATGTATGGAGTACATATGACTAAAGCTTGGATGGCAAAATATGATCCGTGAAATTTTTTACTTTAACTAGAAGGCACCTAAACCTGCTTCACAAATTCATTATGTCGTACATTCATTAGTATTTTACAATTACAATGTCTAAAGAGTAAACTGGTTGTTCAACAACTAATTAACTCAATTGCTCGGTAGGCTTACTAGCTAGAGTAAATAACTACTTTGGTAAAAAAAAAAAAAAAAAACTTTTAATGAAATTGTGCATTGTTGTACATTTGTTGTGTTGAAAAATAGAGATGTGGAGTGAGGATAGATTATAAGGGTAGGGCATAAGAGAAAAAGTGCAGTCAAATATTTGATATTAAGCTTGCTAATTAATCGTATATTATTAAATTAAAATTTAGTTAAGAATAGCTTATTTAATCATAATAGATTATATATTTATTTATTAATGTGGTGGGTTATTTTGGACTAGGGGGATTTACATGCATACCACTTTATATCTTATTATTTACATATCTAGCACTCAAAATCTTAGCATTCATAGATCAAAAATGGGTGTAAGGAATGAAATATTAAAATTTATAGATATGGGTGGTAAGAATGAAATACATGAGTGATATTTTTGATATTAAAATTGTCTATGAGTGATAGATATGAAATATTAAAGATTTGGATGTTACATATTTAAATAGCATGGTATGTATGTAAATCCCCCTTTGAATATATTATCTTTTGTTCTTCTGTATGTTTGCCTCTTATTCATTACTATTTCCACCTCTTGCACCATGCTTTAGATTTATGCCACTTTCTATTTTCCCAATCGCTTAAGGTGATCTACCTGAGTGAGGTTGTGGTAATGTTGTTATTCACCCGAACCCAAGCAGGAGGAGGACCCTCCACACCCCCAGTGAGCATGATAAATTTAGTTGAGATCCGTGACAACAATACAATCTGATTGATCGACACAAACAAGTTTACATATACTAAAAAAGTAGTTCGCTTTCTATTGGATTTTTGTCGATATTAACTCCGAGAGCAATTTTGATTTGGTAAATATTAGCTTGAGAGGACATTTTTGTAGTGAGACATGTTCCCTCTTTAATTAATAAAATTTGAAGCATTTGGTTCCTTATTGCGTTTCTTACTAGTAATAAAACATCTTGATTTTTATGAGATTAGTGAGAAGCAACTATTTTGATGAGTAGATGTAAATTGTTTCACACGTAATGCCTCTTTTCTACACAAATATTTCTATTTATTTCTAATGTTTTGATTTGTTCCAATTAATTGATTGATTTATTATTAGTGAAGCTACATATTGATTTGATGTAACCTTTTCTTATTTCTCAATTTCAATGAATGAATTTGCTGGTGCTTATATAGGTTGTTATGAATGTAAGAAAGTTTGTTCATTATCTTATTTTATTTATGTCAATTAGTTAGTTACTAATTCCATATATATTGAATTGTATGTTAATTTAAACTTGTAAAATTATTTATTAACATGAGAAGACAAGTACTTGTATTATTTTTGATCTTGTTCATTAGCTCATGTAAGTACTTGTTGATTAATTTAGCAAGTCAAGTATAAGCTAAGCTTGATTATAAAAAAATTCAAATGAACCAAGTACAAACATACATGTGAAAACTCGACTTGAGCTCGAATTGAGCATGAACTACTTGTAATATGATCAAGCAAAGTGCAATTTATGTGGTGCTCGACTCGGCTCAGCCTATTAGAGCCTTATTCATGCTCTTGATTTTTTTTTTTTTTTTGATCTTGTGCGAACAAAAGGTTAAGTAGAAGGTGGGATGCATGATTTTTACATAGAAAACTCTTGAATGGGAAAAGCTGCAGGGCTTATCTTGATCAATTAAATTGTTTCTACTATTTATAGAAAAGCAATATAAGAGTGATTGACATTCAAACAATTAACATAGGTTATCTTGGTTTGTTAGTTCGGAGTTTTGACTGCCAATCAAGAAGTCTTGGATTTGAATCTTGCGTATATGATGTGTGATTTGAATCAAGAAGTTAGGATAAAATGAATGCAAATTTCTACATTGAAATGTAGTATTGGAGCCTTATTAGGCTTTAATTACATTATAATTTTACTTTCTATTTACATAAGCATTTAGTGGAGTCTTTTGTTTCAAGCATTAGTATATGGGAATCAAAATTCTGAAGTTTATGGCTTTGGATCAATTTTCTTAAAGTTAACTAATTATCATTAATAAAATGACAACTACAAAAGAAGTCCGTAAAGGGCCATTACAAAATAGGAATTCTAGCTATGTAAAAAGAAAGGGAACAAGAGAGCTAAATATTAGCCATTATAAGACGAGGGCTTTTCACATGTTCTTTCCTCTTTCACCTACCCCATCAATTTTGGGAGGATTAAATGAAGAATTCATCATTCTCTATAGGAACATCACCCTCATGTATGATAAATGAAGATGTACAAGTTGAAGAAGCTTGATCATAAATAAATAAAATTTGTTGATGCCCCATAGAATCGGTTGATTGATCTAGGGAAAGGCTAGGTTTGAATCTAACATCTATGTGTTTAAGAACAGTGGAAATAGTGATTCGAGAGTGTTATAGTCCTGATGGTTGGATGGTGGAAGGAAACTATTGGACTGTAGGGATACTTATTTTTATTTCAGAACTACTACAAATTGAGAGATTCCCATACAAAAACTTCTGATTTTTCTACAGAAACGTAATCATGACAATTATATTAAATATTTCTGTTGTAATTATGATATATAATTCATTTTCACATCATAAACAAATAATCTTCGAAATAATAACACTGCCTAAAATTGATTATCGAGTCAAAGATGAGGCAAGCTGCTAATTATATTATAAAACACTGCCATCCAAATTCTTAAGTCAATTCCTGAAAAAAATGGTAGTTTACGTCATTATTAGCTTTCAAAGCTGAATATGTTAACATCTATTAAATTTGATTGCATCTACATTTTTTCTGCTAGTACTCTTTCATTTTATTCAACTCTCCTGAAAGTTCTTTATATTCCATCGAATTTCACGGAACTGTAGTTATCTAATTAGCTGAGTTCTAGCATTCCTGCTGAAGATCCATATATGGCTTCCTTCCTTTAGTTAATGCTAAGGACGAGGAGGTTCATAAGTTTCAAAGCTTTGTAATAGTCATCAACTATTTGCCTTTATTCAAATCCTGCATAGAGAAACACTTTCCAAGTCTTCTGCACCATTTGATTTGTAGACTCTAAGAATAAACGGTCTGTAAAACATCATAGAAAAAATGAATCAGTGCTTGTTCTTTAGCTGCTAGAATAGAATCATGGCTTCCTAGCTTTTGAAGGGTGGTCAAATACAGCATTGTATTACTAGTAATTCTTACTATCACACTCTTGTAGAAAAACAGATTCAACAATGGTTCATTCAGCAGCTGGTGAATCTGAAACCAAGGAGCTAGACCTGGCTATCCTTTCTTCTTCGCGCAGGTGGTCTGATAACTTGCCCTCATCTTACAAGGTTGGTCTCCCACCTAGACAAAGACTGGTGAGTGAATTCCTTGATAAGCTGAAGGAAACTTTATTTACGGATGATCCATTGCGCCCATACAAGAACCAAAAACGGTCAAGACAATTTATTATAGGACTTCAGTCCTTGTTCCCAATTCTTAAGTGGGGGAGTGAGTACAATCTCATTAAGTTGAAAGGAGATGTTATTGCCGGATTAACAATTGCAAGTCTATGCATCCCTCAGGTTTGTCTAATTTTATAAATAGTGAAATTCTTAAATTTTCTTATGTCTTAAATTGTTTTTTTTTTTAATTAGGATATTGGGTATGCTAAGCTTGCAAACTTGGATCCCCAATATGGGCTATGTAAGTTATCTTTGTCAGGATTAAGTCTTCGTTTGAAACGGCTTTCTTACTGTTTCTTAAAGTAGCTCTATAGTTCAAAAAATAAAAACTTTGTACTAAAAAGCTGCTTTATGTAGCAATAAGAAAGCTGTCTCAAACGAAACCTAATTTACTTCACTTATAAATGCACACAAAAAAACTACTTTTTATTTCCTACTTTGGTTTTGTAGATTCCAGCTTTGTGTCACCAATGGTTTATGCTGTTCTGGGGAGTTCAAGAGATATTGCCATTGGCCCAGTGGCTGTTGTGTCTCTCTTGCTCGGCAGCCTTCTTCAGAAAGAATTCGATTACACGAAGAACAGGGCAGAGTATTATAGGCTGGCATTTACTGCCACCTTCTTTGCTGGAGTCACTGAGGCAGCACTGGGATGCTTGAGGTGATGAACTGAAACAATATATTCTTCAAAATCTTTCATTTGGCTTTTGTGCTATTGTTATTATTATAAGCATTAATGTCTTATATGGTTTGATTTTCTTTTTCCCTTGTTCTCTTCAGATTGGGATTTCTAATAGACTTCTTATCTCATGCTGCTATTATTGGATTCATGGGTGGGGCAGCCATTACAATTGGCCTTCAACAGCTGAAAGGATTTCTCGGTATTAAAAACTTCACAAAGAAGACAGATATAATTTCTGTGATGAAGTCTGTTTGGGGTTCAGTTCATCATGGTGTAAGAATTATGTAGTTTATTTTTTATCAAACAAACAACAAATTTTATATTCATAGTATATAATAATTCATGACTATGTTTATTTGCAGTGGAACTGGCAAACTATACTTATTGGGATAGCCTTCTTGATATTCCTTCTTCTTGCTAAATATATAGTGAGTTTTTTCAACACAATTCAAAAGAGAGAATCAAATATCATGATTTAAAATTATGCAATAAGAGGTGCGCCTCAACGCACGCCTTAGCGCAATTTCACATGTTTCAGCCTCAAAGCTTACGCCTTCCTCCTGGAATATGAGGCGTACGCTTCAATTTAACGGAGGTGCGCCTCAAGGCGCGACTCGCCTCTTAAAATTAAAAAAATGCTCAGTACTAGTCAGTACCTCTTTGTAGCGCTTGGTACCATGCTCAGCACCAATGCTCGGTACCGCTCGGTACTTGTCGGTACCATGCTCAGTACCAATGCTCGGTACTGCTTGAATCCCGTCAGTGGGCAGCGCCCCCTTGGACTCCCGACATATCTGCGAAATCTCTATTCTTTTACTTATAAGTGTAGATGATTTCATAATATTTTCAACGGTTCTTTGATCAGTGTTAAAATAATTATGATTATGATGGTTAGAAGTACATAAACTTTTACTCAATTTTTTTATTTTGAGGCTTACGCCTTGCCTCACGAAAGAAAAACGCCTCAATACCCGATTACGCAATTTTAAACGTTGTCAAATATTTATATTTTTGGTACATAAATAAGGATTTTTTTTTTTTTTTTTTGTAGGGGAAAAAGAAGAGGAGTCTCTTTTGGGTGCCAGCAATCGCACCATTAATCTCTATAATTCTTTCCACTTCGCCTCACGAAAGAAAAATGCTCAATACCCGATTACGCAATTTTAAACCTTGTCAAATATTTATATTTTTGGTACATAAATAAGGTTTTTTTTTTGTAGGGGAAGAAGAAGAGGAGTCTCTTTTGGGTGCCAGCAATCGCACCATTAATCTCTATAATTCTTTCCACTTTTTTTGTATACATCACCCATGCCAACAAACATGGGGTTCAAATTGTACGTACATAGTGGGACAAAGGCTTGATGTTGTTGTTGTTGTATGGAGTTCTAATTCTGATAAAGTTTTTTAAATTTGATAGCAAAATTGATCCATGCAGGTGAATCATATTAAAAAAGGCATCAATCCTTCATCAGCACATCAAATTTACTTCAGCGGTTCAAATCTTGTAAAAGGAGTAAAGATTGGTGTTGTTTCCGGGATGATAGCATTGACTGTGAGTTCTGATTATTTATAAGAAATTCAAATTTCCTGGTGAATTGGTATTACACTAATAAATCCCCTTTTCCATGGCTTGAATTAATTTCCTTGATATCTTCAGGAAGCTGTGGCAATAGGCCGAACATTTGCGGCCATGAAGGATTATCGATTGGATGGAAACAAAGAAATGGTGGCCCTTGGAACCATGAACATTATTGGGTCCTTCACTTCTTGCTACATATCTACAGGTAAGAAGAACATTCTTGATTGAATCAAATCAAAAATGAATTTTCAGTTACTGGTGTGGGCCTCAAATGAAATTTTCTGATATAATCAAATGTCATGCATTAAGAGCTAACTCAACTATGTGGTAATGCCCTCAAAGTCACTTGCTCTTTATCTGATAGGAAACACTTCAAGATCTCAAGTAATTCCTATCAATCTTTTGAAAACAACAAAAATCCTCCACATAGAACCGAGAAAACAGCAGAAAATTTGAATTATTTGATGAAATAGAAATGGAAAATACCAAGATACAATCGATCCTCTATTCGAGAGGAGGATCTATCTCTCCCAAATCTCTAGACGCCGCTAGAGCCCAAAGGTAAACCTAAATCTAAGAGATCTCAAATTTCAACCAAATTCAAGATGTCATAACCCTAGAAAAACAAGGTATTTAATGCATACAACTCAAAAGAAAATCTCTAAGCATTCCCTACATTCAAATTTACCTCCCAAATCCCTTAAAAGTCTTTCCCAAAAAGTTCTGCCTATTTCTCAGCCTCTGTCCGTGTGAACTAGTCTCTATGCTGGACCAGTCTAACATTATCCTTGCTCAACCCTGCTTGAAGGATGACAAGACTATTGGGAGCCATACATTGCATGAATCACACAAGCCAAATCAAGCTGTATGTTTCGATACATTTGCACAGGAGGACCATTAGTAATCCAAATTGAGTCTACTATAACCTGAAAGCTTAAGTGATGGGTGAGGGCCTACTAAGATCTATATAAGAGTTGATATTAGTTTGCATGAAAGGCAAAATATGAGTTAATTTCTTAAGACTCTAATAGTGCACCTTTCAAATATTTCTACACCAACATATTTTTCAATCATATAATATTGAACTAATTTTATTACTTTCACATATCATAATAGAAATATTGCAACAAACAAGAAATTAATGTTAATGTTCTTCTTCTAATCAGGTTCTTTCTCAAGATCAGCAGTGAATTACATGGCTGGATGTCAAACAGCAGCTTCCAATATTGTTATGTCCATAGCAGTAGGGTTGACATTGGCAGTCCTCACTCCCCTCTTCAAATACACACCAAATGCAATCCTTTCATCAATCATCATCAATGCTGTGATTGGCCTCATTGATTATAATGCAGCTATACTTATCTGGAAGGTTGATAAGATGGACTTCATTGCCTGCATGGGAGCTTTTTTTGGTGTGATCTTTGTTAGTGTTGAGATTGGTCTCTTAATTGCGGTAAGAGATTTATTATCATTGGCTTCGTTTGGGACGGCTTTCTTACTGCTTCTTAAAACAGCTTTTTTTACAAAAATTAATTAAAATTTTTGTACTAGAAAGCTGCTTTAAGAAGCAGTAAGAAAGCCGTCCCAAACGAAGCCTTTGTCTTCAACTGCTTCTAATTAGAAACTATGATCTATGTTTGTTCCTTTATTCTTGCAGGTTTCAATATCATTTATTAAAATCCTTCTTCAAGTGACTAGACCAAGAATTGTTTTACTTGGTAATCTCTCAAGAACTTCCATTTACAGGAACATTCAACAATACCCTGAGGCAACTACAGTTCCTGGATTTGTAATTGTTAGAGTTGATTGTGCTGTCTACTTCTCAAATTCTAACTACGTCAAGGAGAGGTACATAACCCAATGACTTGATGATTCACTTATGATTGGATATCAAAACATTCTTATAAATAGAAGAAGCTATGATAATTCCTCTTTATTTCATGAGTGTTTTTTTTGTTTGTTTTTGCTTTATTATCAAGAGTTTAATGTATATGAAACCTTTATCTAGGGGTATCAATATTTTACCTGACCCGAAAACCCGACCCGAATCGGGTCGCGTTCGGGTTAGAGATTTCGACCCGTCTGTAAAACCGGGTCAGATTCGAGTTGACCCGGAAACCCGAAATCAACTCGATTTGACATATTTTTAATTAATTTAAGAGGGTTTTAAAATATTGTTATGAAATAAGTAAATGTTATTTCCAAAAAATAATAAATAATATTGCCCAAATTAAATTAAGCTTGGTTGATTTTGAATTGATTAAAATAAATATTACCTTAATTTGATTTAGGTTTAAATAAATTGAATTAAATAAAAAAAATTTAGTAAAACAGACCTGAAGCGGTTCGGATTGGGCTTGACTCGGACTCGAAGCGGGTCAAGTTCGATTCCGGAAAAGTAGAAAACCGACCCTTTTGCAAAAACAGGTCGGGTTCGGGTCGTGTTGTATAGTGCCGGGTCAGTTACGGGTTGAACCCGAACCCGACCCGTAACCCGATTTTGACAGCCCTACATTCATCTACGTGACTCTAGGCCAAAATATGTGAATGTTCAGAACCGAAGCTTAAAAACATGGCTTTAAAGGGCGCTATATTATATTAAAACCATTTCATGCCAGTTATTCTTAAAATCAATTGCAGGATCCTCAGGTGGCTAACAGATGAGGAAGATAAAGTAAGAGATAACGGCCTACCACAAATCAAATTCTTGATTGTTGAAATGTCTCGTAAGTTGATTTTTGATTGTTGAAAGGTCATAAGAGAAAACTTCATTGCCTCTTATCCTAAACCACTCTTTTGAGTTGTGTGACTAATTTGTAGTATCATTTATTCTACATTTCTTTAGCGGTCACTGACATTGACACCACTGGGATCCATGCCCTTGAGGAGCTGCACAAGAGCTTGAAAAAGAAAGATATAGAGGTTTGGTAAACAATTGATTTCACCATAGAAAATTGTTTGATTTCAAATACTAACAAGTACAAATTACTTGACAATTTTTGGCATTTCATAGCTTATTATTGCAAATCCCGGGCCTGGGGTGATGGAGAAGCTCCAATCTTCCAAGTTTACCGAGTTGATAGGCCACAACAAGATCTTTTTGACAGTTGGGGAAGCTATAACAAATTGCTCCAAAGAGGTCGGTGAAGAAGCTTGAAGAAGAGAAAGCAAAACATAGAATAATTCAGTAATATGCTTATTTAGGCTTCGTTTGGGACGGCCTTTTTATTGCTTATTAAAGCAACTTTGTAGTACAAATATTAAAAAATTTGTATTAAAAAGCTGCTTTGAGAAGAAATAAGAAAACAGTCACAAATGAAGCCTTAATGTTGAAACATCAGTGTGATTAGTTTGCAGATGATTTAGGACATGGTAAGGTTGCTAATATGAAGAACTATGTAAACATTCAATATAGAGGAAGTTGATGCCTTTCTGAATCCTTTTTTTGTCTCTTAAACAGTATCAAATTTTCTTTAGAGTACTCTCTCCAAATTCCCCGCAGCTTAGGATTGAAAAATGATCAAAAGATCAAGAGTACAAGAGTCCCTAGTTCCTCCTATGATGTTCCTTTATAAAGATAGGGAAACCTATCGGTCGCGCATAAAACTTGTATGATTGAATTTACATGGCTATGTTTGCCTTTATAAATTTATGATTTTATTAAGTTTATAAATAAGTAGGTTTAACCCACATAATTGGCTAAAAAATAAAAATAAATATATCATGGAGATCAAATTTGAAGCTAATTACATACTTTGGAAGAGGATGTCCTTAAGAATTTGTCGCATCTGATTTTGCAATTTAAAAATAAATATATTTAATAATTTTTATATGAAAAAATAATAAATTTGAGATATCAATAATTTATTGTATTATTGAAGTGTTTTTACTAACTTACCCAACATCATGACCAAATCAAGATGAACATTAAGGGACACATCAAAACACATATATATGATATATTTATTGATATTAACAAAATTGGGCGAAAGCCCGAGTGAATTGGCGAGGGAATCTAAAATCCAGATGTTTGTATTATATGAAGAAGAGATGATAGAATAAATATAATACTACTTATGATTTATACACGCGAAAACTTTTTTTTGATAGATTTTCAATAACAATAAATCATTTCATTTATGACTTTTTTAACAGATGATTTTCCATTAGAAACTAGAGCTTTCAACTGAAAAATAACACATTTTCACTAAGATATTTGTTATTGTTCTTCAGTGTCATTAAATCAATTATTAAAGTGGCTAGAAATGATGGTCAGTAGACTATAGGATATAAAGGGGGATAAAGAGCAACAAACAAAAATTAGTAATGGAAATTAAATGTATTTAAAAAATATATTTATGAAGAGTAATTAATAATAAAATTGTAGAGAAGGCTTCATGTTCTCATTTATGCTTTGTTTGGGACTGCTTTTGATAATTATTTTCTTAATGTTTTTAAGAAATTTTTGTGCAAGAAAGTTGCTATCGTAAGTAATAAGAAAACTATCATAGACGAAACATTAAATTATCCAAATCAAAGCTAAGAAAATGAAGGTATAGAGCTAAGACCTATCAAAGGGATTTGGGTTCAACTTACGATGAGGACAGAGGAAAAATATGAAAAATTATTAAGATGAATCAAGGCAACTATATCTCACTTTGATTCACCTTCCTAATATAGATATTATTAAATATTAATAAATTTGAAAGTAAATTCAAATATATTGAAGATCCAAAATCATATATTGCTCTTGAGGGATGTATGAATATTGGAAAGGGCTTAAATATTGTTCTTGGGGAGAGGAGAAACACACCAAAATTTTAGGAGGATATTTCTTATAATTCTTCTCATTTAAATTTTTAAGGTAGAGGTAGAACTAAAAAGATTCAATTAGAAAGTAATAGAAATGATATTTTTTATTAAATATAAATGAAATTCTAACTTTTAACAGGACACAATGGTGTTGAGTTTGGGTTCTAATTTTTGACTTGTTTGAAAATTCGGGTCGGATTCGGGTAAACTCATTAACCCGAATTTGGCCCATCCAAGTCCTACCAAGCCAGTCTCCTAACTAGCCCCTGTGCAGGCATCTTGCCCTAGACTTGTGCACCGGCGCCATCACTCTCACAATGCTTGCACCTGAACCCACACAGAGTCGCAGACTGCGCACTCGTGTGATCCCGCCCTCTCTCATAGTTGCGCACACACCCGCTCACTCGTATTTTCCCTCAATCACTCACAATTGCGACTCGCACTCGATGCTCCTGCACATGGCCCTTGCTCGACCCTCGCAAACCCTCCATTGCCTGCATTCTAGTACACCCTTACGTTTGAAGCTCGAGGGTAGGGTCAAGTCAACCAGGTAACCTGGCGAATTGGGATGTCCTTGTCTGAATTTTTGACCCATTTATATAATAGGGTCGAGTTTATGTTGGATTAGTTGATAGTTGGTTAGTTTTGGGTTTAACCCGAATCCGACTTGAAAACCCATGCATTTTGACACCCCTAAGAAAAATGATTCATATAACAGACTGCATGTAGTGGGATAAATGCTTCTTGTTGTTGTATATAAATCTAAGACTCCAGAAATTTCTAAAATACTTTAGATTGGATATCATGACCTTTTTTGGAGAATGACAATAAATTCCAAAATCCACTGGGTCAATCTGGTTGGTTATTTGCACCCAGTTTTGGTGTAGCAGCTATATTTCGATTATGAACCAGATTAGATTGTAGACATGAAAGAGTATTTGTGGTGCACAATTTCATGGAATGTAGGTAGTGGTCATGACCGATTTGATAGAAAAGAATGGATAATGTCCCTTTTTCGTTGGGGATTTCCTCTTAAATTATTCCAATATTGGACCTTGGACATAAAATCTGGTCAAATTTTCATTGTCCATGTTCTTTTTTTGGTGCGAGGAGCTTACCATGAATCCACTTATTTCTGAAGTGAAGATTGAGAACCATTTTTATTTTCTTCGAAACAGATTTCTCCAATAGAAAGAATACCTTACTTCTTTGATTTTGTACAAAAGGTTCATTTCCCCTTCTTCAAACTCCGATTCGTATTTTTCATATAGAAATCTCTGATCAACGATAGAACAAGATCACCTTCCTCTGGCTTTAGGGTTTAGGGTTTAGGGTTTAGAATAAAATAGAATAATAAAAGAAAAATACTCTTCGCCACCTGGGGCTGTAGTATGTTCCAAGGGAAACAAATCTCATCTCTTTTTTTATTCTTCACGCAAATTAAAAAATTCAATTTCAAGAAAAAAAAAAAGAAGAAAAAGAATCCAAATGTAGGAGGTTTTGGTCAAGGAGATGCAGAAATAGTGCTTCAAGATCCAGAACAACTTAGAAAAGAAAAATGAAGCGTTTCTTGGAATTTAGGTTTATTCTTTGTTAAGTAGGTACGTAACCCAAAGAGAAATTTCTTTACCTGTCCAATTTCTAGTCCATCGGTTCCCAGTCTCCAGTGTGGGATATTTTAAGAAGTGAACGTCTTTTTTCGTAACAGGGTCGGGGGAAAGAATATGAAATACGATTTCACTATATTTCTGACCGGGAACCATCAATAATTCGGAGCATGAAAGATTCCTCTTTCTTATTCTTAAGCAAGCCCCCGAGAAGGCTTAGTTGAAAGAAATAAGATTGTTTAAATACGATGGGACAGAGATAGATAAATAGACACATCCCATTGCACTGATCGGGGAGCGCTCGTAGTGACTGAGGGGTCCGCCTCTGAAAACACCACTTAAACTGAAACATTATGGAGCTACAAAGATAGTTATGAAATCGTTCATTTTCCATTTCAGTTGGAAAATGCAGTCCCTTTTTCACCTTGAATTGGGAAAAATATGGCGTTTATATATAGATGTAGGAGGGTTTGTTTGGGAAGCAATAAGCCCCTTTGACATCTCTTCATCTACGAATTCCGTTTCAAAATTTGAAATTTCCTATTTCACTTTGAAATTAGAAACTTAAACTATCAATACGATATTTCTATTTGTATTTTACCTATCATCCTTATTATATATTGACATGTCACAAAAAAGGTATCTTAATCAGGCATGAATCCCGATGCCAATATGAGTAGGAAGCTTCCAAAATTAAATTTGGGATAATCCAAACTCCAATTTCAACATACTTATAGTCAAATTGAGCATCATAGGGAGATGAACCCAACGACATCAAAGTCAGTCCAATCCAAGCCCAAATCAAAGGACAAAAACATACTTGAAAACTACATAGCAGCATTTGGATGACCAATTGATATCGAATATGACATGCTTATCGTCAAATCGAGCGGCTCGACAAGACAAATCCAACAAGCTCAAGATCGCTTTACTTTGACATTGTTATGGCATATAAATGTTCAAAGAGCACTTCAAAATTGAAGGAATTGAAATCATACATCCAATGGAGCACTCCAAACCTTCCTTAGAACTTCTCTATATTTACTAGACATGTCACTCCAAAAAAACTTTAAAATATCCTCATTCTTCACATGAGGGAAGGAGGAAGAGAAGAGAAAACTAAGAAGCTCTCTTACATTGTTTCAGTGAGATTATTGATGTTCACGGTCATATAAAGTTCAAATATTTGATTAAATTTTAGAAGCATTCAATATTTCTCTTCATATAAAATTGAAGATATAAGTCAATGACTAAGAGGGAACATAACCAATTATAACATAAATAAAAGGAAGATGTAGAGAAAAAAAGTATTTATTGCTACTGCCATTTCTCTTCTACAAGAGTCTAAATGAGGAGAAATTATTATGTGTGGAGTCCGGACAACGTTCATACTCCAATCAAAATAGGTCACGTTGTCTATACATAGCATACAAATTGTACATAGACTATATACGGATGATGTGGTCTATTTTGATTGAAGTCTGAATGCAACTTATGTCCGGACTCTGCACGTAATAATTCCTAAATGAGGGCCTCTCCATGCTATTGCTGAAAGCTTTTTCATTTAATGAAATTGACATTAGCAACACCTTTTTGAAGAACCAGGAGATCTCTCTCATCTAAGCACTAAATTAATTTTTCATTTGTTCTCTCTATTAGTGGCATCTTTCCCTGTCTCTCCCCATTAATTCTCTCAATTTAATGATGGTTGTGAGATATTAAACTCCTCGTTCCAAGACTTGATTTATAGTGGTAATAAT